TTGGTAAGTGGCCCAGACCCAAGTAATGGTTCCCATAGAGTTAATTATTGAGTCGTCAGGGCTAAAAGCCAACTTCCTAGCCCTCCTGGACTTGGGTTGCACCGGATGCCTGGTTAACCCAGCCCTAGTAAAAAGATTGGGGATTCCTGTGGCATTCTACCAGCTAGATGGATCTGTGGCAGGTGGCATCTAGCAATGTTTGTTACTGAGCCAATGGAAATGTGGTTGGGGGACCATACCGATATTCTAAGCTTTATAGTGGCTCCCAGAATGGAGAGTTGGCTGGTCTGGCTCAAGAAGTGGAACCTGAACATAAATTGGAGGAGGGGCTGCTGAAAATCCGGCGAGCCTGCCTAGCACATGGCCCGGAACAAGTTCAGAAAGCTTGTCCAGTGGGCTATAAGGCAGGAGCCGCAGCGCAAGAACAGGGAAGAGACCTTGGCTCTATCCCTAAAGAATACTGGGACTTGAGGGAGATGTTCAGTGAAAAGGGGTTGGATGAGCTCCCCCTTCACCAATCAATAGATTGCTATAGAGATTTTATCAGGGGCTAAACTACCCAGCCAAAAGTTTACTCGATGACCCCAAGGGAATTAGAGCAATTGCATTCCTTCATTGATTAAAAACCTCGCCCATGGATTTATCCAGTTGGCACAACCTCAGGTGGCTGCCCCCATTTTATTTCAGGGGGAATAAAAGATGGATCGCTTCACTTGTGGACTATAGAGGATTAAATGGGGTTTGTGTGGAAAACGTTCACCCCTTACCTTCAATGACGGACATGCTAGTTCACTTGGCAAGGCAAGATTTTTACTCAGTTAGACCTATGGGAGGCTTATTATCGTGTGAGGATCAAAGAGGGGGACAAATGGAAAAGCGCTTTTAATTATCCACTGGGATGTTTCCAGTTTAAAGTCCTCCCTTTTGGCCTCCAGAGCTCTCCGGCAGTCTTCACGTAGCTAATTAATGAGGTGCTGCATGAGCACCAATACAAAGGGGTGCAGGTATACTTAGATTACATTCTGATCTACACCAAAACAAAAGCTGAGCATGTAAACTTGATAAGAGCGGTGCTCAAGAAACTAAAAGCTGCTAAGTTGTACACCAAGGTAAAATAGATTATTTAAATTACCACATATCGCATGAAGAAATTGAGATGGACCCCCAAAAGGTCCAGGCAGTATTGGATTGGGCCCACCATGCACCAGAAAGCAATTGCAAAGCTTCTTTGCCAATTTTTATCACCAATTCATCCCATCTTTTGCCCAGATTGCATTCCCCATCACTAATCTTTCAAAGACAAAAGGGGAAGATAAGCCCAAGCCTAGCTCAACCTCTAAATGGAGTGTCAGTTCAAGAAACTTAAAAGCTTATTTGCAACTGAACCTGTCCTCAAACACCTAGATCCAAATGTCCCATTCAGGCAGACTCTAGCAATGTGGCTGTAGGGGCCATACTCTTGCAAGGAAACAAACAAGGCAACCCATAACCCTGTGCCTGTATTTCTAGAAAACTGTCAGAAACTGAACATAGATGGGCAGTTTAGGAAAAGGAAGCTTACACCATGTGCTGAGCATTCTTAACAGGGAGCTACTTCCTTGAAGGGAGCAAATTACCTTTTGAAGTGTCGACTGACCACAAGAATTTAGACTAGAGGCATTGAAAACCCGCATAAGCTGTCACCCAAACAAGTCCAATGGGCACAGTACTGTAACCAATTTAACTTTATTTTGCACTACTTCCCAGGAGGCAAAAATTTTCTGGGTGATGCCCTGTCAAGAATGCTTCAGTATAACTGTACCAAGTGCTGCGACCACCGGGCTGGCCTCCCAAGCTGAGGCATCTGATCCCAACATATGGCAGCACTAGTAGTAGGCAGAGGCAGGCAATCCTGATGCACTACGCAGCTGCCTGTCTACTCTGTCCCACTGTCTCTCAGTTTGTCTGTGGCTGCACTGAGGCAGGAGGCAGTGCATTAGAATTGCCTGCCTCCCCTCTGTACCTGTCTCTGCCTGCTGCTGCTGCCAGTACTGCCGCCACGAGGACAAGCCACCCATGGCCATGCTAGGGCAGGTGGCCACATGGTGCATCCAAATCGCATGCCTCCCCCATGCCTTTGCCTCCAACTGCTGTTTGGACAAATAATCAACACACCGCTGTGTGGGCTGCGCAGCCCCAGAGTGTGCTGGCTAAGGGGCTGGCAGGTTGCAGCTGTTGCTGAAACCTTTGTCCCCCTTGCACTATCTGACTCTAGGGCACCCAGCCGGGCTGATCACCCTGATACCGTGTTTCCCTGGAAATAAGCTATAATACATCTTTTGGAGCCAAAAGACTGGGTGTTATTTTTGGGAAAACACCATATATATCAGAGAGTCAGAGGCTACTGGTTCTGGATAAAAGCCATGATTCAAAAACTGCTGGGCATTTTGGTTTTTGAAAACTTCACATTTAATTAACCACCCTTAAAGAAGGACATTAATAGTTATGTGGCAAGTTGCCTGATTTGTGCCTCTGCCAAGTGGTGGCAAGGACAAACCCCAGGGCTCCTCCAACCAGTGGCTGAGCCAATGGCACCCTGGAGAGAAATCTCCATGGATTTTGTAGTAGAACTCCCAGAAAGTTCAATAAATACAATTATATGAGTTATAACTGATTTGTTTTCCAAGCAGTTGCACTTTGTCCCATGCCAAAAAATTCCCTCGGCATATGCGCTAGCCAAGTTTTTTGTGCAACATGTCTACTGACTGCACAGAGCCCTACAACACATAACCTCCGATAGGGGGGTACAATTCACTTCCAAGTTCTGGTAAGCATTCCTAAATCTTCTAGGGACTGATCAAGAGCTTGCCTCCAGCCACCACTCCCAAACCAATAGGGGTGCGAACACACAAACTCTGTATTGGAACAATACCTGTTAATTATCAACAGGACAACTGGACATACCTTTTAACCATTTGTGGAGGTAGCATACAATAATTTGGTACACAGTTGTACAGGGTTCACTCCTTTCAAGGTAGCAATGTGACAAGACATCACTCCCATGCCTGAGCTACCTTTGAATGATCCCCCTATGCCTTCTGTAAAAGAATGGGTCTCCCAATTATGAAATACCTGGTCAGTTGTGAGGAAGTTCTTTGCAGATTCTAGGAAAGCATACAAAAAGCAAGCTGACAAAAAGTGCATGGAACCAAAAACCTTTTATATCAATGACCACATTTACCTATCCACCTGATACTTGCAATCTCTGCAACTATCGAAGAAGTTAGGATCCAAATATGTAGGTCCCTTCCCCATCAAGCTCATTATTAACCCAGTAACAGTGGGACTAGATTTTCCCAAATCCCTATGACATATTCACTACTGAGATTACCTCCCAACTTAGATCTGAATTGCCATCACTGCCTGAGCCTTTAATAATAAAAGGGGAACAACACGTTGAGGTTAGGGATATTTTAGATTCATACAAACATCGGGGAAAGTTTCAATATTTGGTTGCATGGAAAGATTTTTCTGAATCCCAAAATGAATGGGTTGACCAACACCATGTTAAAACTGCTAGGCTCCTTAAATAGTTTCATAATCAATATCCTGATAAACCTAAGTAAGCTGTCAGCCCTAACCTCTTTTCACCTTTATTGTGTTTTGTTTTGCAGGACTAACGTCGCGGTTCAGGGGGTAGCATGTCAAGTCCACCATTTGTACTCTGGTATCCTGCCATTGTGCTGAGGAGGCGGGGAGATGGCATGCTTGGGATTTTTTGCTGCTGCTGTTCACTTGGGAATTAGGGAGGGAGACTGTCTTTGGAGATAGGACGGACTCCTTCCCAGCCAGTTTTTGCTAGATTCCAAGGTCATTGTGCCCTGATTGTGAACCGTTATCTGCCTAGCACCTCAGCATTCTCAAAACATCTTCTCAGCACCGATTGACTGCCAATGGACTGGCCATAATGGTTGGGATTGGGAAACTGAAATAATTTATTTGTGCTTTGTGCAGAATCTTCAGATTCCACCTGATTTTATTTCATCCAGTTTCTCTCAGTAAAGGTTCTTTTGATTCAACTCAATGGATTCAACAATCTTACTTTCCTGAGAGGGCAGCCTGGGGCAGATCTGACAGGCATAAACAATATGTATCTTACCACACATTCACAGTACAAAGAGTATTCCAAATACAGGAAAGAACTTAATATGAAAGAAAGTTAATTGATGCTGCTGCTGCATAGAATGAATAATATCACTTAGAAAGATGAAATAAGACAAAAGATTTAAAACTGTACGTATGTTAATAACAGAGCCAACACTGAATTAGGGAGGGGGATGACACTACCTACAGAATTAATAAGAGGACACCAAACTATCTACACAAAATAGAAAATTACAAAATGAACCAAATATATGATGTATAGGATCAATATAATGGGAAAGGTTGTTTTAAAAAACATGTTTGGATAAAAGCGTTGGAGAAGAGAATTCATAGGAAGAAAGTAGAACAAAGTAGAAAAATAGAGCGAATGATGAGGAAATGAAAGAAACAATAGCTAAAGTACACTATCGTGAAATAAGATATGTGACTCTGAAAATAATAAAGCATGATAACTTGAAATGAATATTAAAATTATCTTTAGTTCCCAGAGTTCAATGGTGGCTTGTTTGCTAAAATCACCTGAATACAATTTTGTTTAATCACTTCACAGATAATTCATCTCCCTTGTCTCCATCCCTCCATGGCATTTTATATACACAAATCATCTTTTCTTGTTATCCAGTGTCTCTGTCTAGCAGCAAAAGTCCCCAGAATGGTTGAGAATGGAATATTTTAGGCCCCAAATCTGCTTCATATCAATCTCCTTTGCATCTCATTTTATTAGCAGATAGAACCCATGTTTATTTATCCTTTTTATCTTTCATTTCCAGTTTTATTTTGTTTCGCTGATAATATTTCCTTAGATCTCTTGTGTGTTTTGGGTTGCTGTCCAACTTGCATGCTTTGTTTTGTCCTAGAGAGAATGCTTACGACAAGGAAGAAGAACAGCCAGTCATAAAGCCCGGTACAGAGGATGAGAGGGAGGAAGAGGCTACTGGGCAGATCAATGCCAGGTACTAGGATCATGACCTCAGTAACCTCTTCAACATTTCTTGAAACAACTAACAAACATTTGCAATATTATAGTATATTGTTAGAATGTGCATTTTACTAAAATTAAACCTGCACATAATATCTCATTATACATATATTGATTTGCTACCAGACTTAATTATGGTTAAAGTATACCCATGTACAATAGTCATGATTGTCTCCATTGGTTTCAATGTTTTTACTTTACCATAATTAAATTGGGAAAAAACCTGTTTCTTAGTTGTGTTTTCATTTTAACAAAACAAAAATAATGGAAGAAAGTTACATTTCCTGAATTCCCCAGCATAACTAGGACAGAAGTTTACCAGAGTCAGATGTTTCCCTCTTCTCTTTTTCATCTGATGTTTGATTTATTTTGTTTTTTAATTCTTCATCTCTAATAGAGCTCCTTTATCACAGCAATTATAGTGCTGCAAACCTCCCAACTTTGCAAACTTTACTTCTGTAGTGGACCTTTCTCTCTGATAGCAGAGGGGAACAGCCTAATATTCTTTAGCTTTTACAATACCTTCACAAAAACCTTGTGTTTTTTAAATTTTTTTGGAAGACAGTATTTAATATAAGCCCCTATTTTTAATAGGAAACTACTAAACATATTTCTCTCAAATACTGTGTCAGCTGACACCATCTAAATGTTAGGAGTTATTTTCTGGAATTCTCAAGTATTTCTAGGTGGGAAAGGCAAACTTACAGATGAATACCATAGTGGAATCATTTGGGGAAGTTTTCTTCAAGGACATGAATAGATATCATAGTTTCAGTAAGCACCAGTGTGCCCATCGTTCTTTCTACCTGACCTTTATATTTACTTTTTGAAAATCCCTTTTTGTATAAAATTGATATGGGAAGCTGATATTTAACAAAACAAAGTTTTATCCTTTATAATGATTAAAATAAAATAATAGCTACAGCCTAGTGGTTCCTTTTTACTTTCAAAAAAGAAGGTGGAATTTACAAATTATTTTTGGAGTAGCAGAAAACTTAAAGCCATTGGGTGTGGTAATTAAGGCACTTGCTTAAAAACAGGAAGCTGTGAGTTCTAGTCCTTGCTGGATGATTTTTGCCAAGAAAGTCTCTCTCAGCTTTTGGAAGGGGACAGTGGCAAACCACTTAAGAAAATGTTATCGAAAAAACTATATAGATTTTTCCAGACATTACCAGGAATTGAACTGAGTTGCTTGTTAAAGAGAGAACTAACCTAGAAGTAAGGAGAAATTTTCTGATCGAATAATTGCTTTCCGGAATTGTGGGTGCTCCATCACTGCAGGCTTTCAAAAAAAGATTGAACAACCATTTGACCGTGATTGTATAAGTTCTCCTGCCTTGAGCAGGGGATTGGACTAGAAGATCTCACAGTTTGCTTCCAGCCCTATGATTCTATGTTCCAGAAGAGACCTTCAAAAAAAATTTACCAGTTTCCTTCCTGGAAAGTACTTTGTGATTTGTCTACAGCATGGGTGGGAAACTATGACCCTTTTATGACTTGTGGACATCAACTCTTCAACCCCACCTCTGACCTAGAGATACATATTACAAGAGACATTTTTTGAAATGGCTATCTTCAATACATAGACATTTTATGAGAGTGTCCATAACATAGTTTAAAAATTTTAAAAATTGCCAATTCTTTTTTTTTATTGAAAATTTTTGAAATTTTTACAAATAAAGAAAAAGGAAAAAAAAATCCAACCCACCCCAACCCTCCCACTCCATCCCCCCAACCTTCCCAGAGCTGAATATAGGCTTAATTAAAATTTCTACAAATCTTAAAAAAAAAAAAAATTAAGAAGTATAGACCATAGATAAATCAAAATACATTACATAAACAACTTATAAAATAATTAACAATAATATATAAGTAAAAAAAACATAAATATTAAAAGAAAGAAAAAACTTAAAAGGAAAAAGAATAAAAAAAGAAAGAAGAAAAGAGATATAAAAAGATAAAATAAAAATGGGAAATATAGGGAAAGAGAAAAAAGAAAAAAAAAGATACAATCTATAAAATATTAAAATTTATATATAAGTTATTGAAAAACTAAGTAATATTTTTTTATATCCAACTTATGTTGTATAAAATCTATCCATTTTTCCCATACCGCAAAAAACTTCTCTTGTGATTGGTCCTTTAAGAAAGCCGAAATCTTTGCCATTTCCGCCAGATAAGAAACTTTAAAAAACCACTCTTGCAAGGTAAGCAGAGATTCCTTCTTCCAATATTGCCCTACTAACAACCTTGCGGCTGTAATTAAATTTAACATCAGTATAACCTCCTTAGTATCACAATCAGTAACGATACCTAACAAAAACAATTGTGGAGTAAATTTTACCCTCCTTCTAAAAATTCTTTGAATATTCCACCATATCTTAATCCAAAAAGCTTTTATATTTTTACATGACCACCAAATAGGATAATAAGTAGCATCCAAACAATCACATCTCCAACATTTAGGCTATAAGTCAGGATACATACGAGACATTTTTTGTGGATCAAGGTGCCATCTATAAAACATTTTGTAAAAATTCTCCCTTAAGTTCTGGGTTTGTGTAAATTTAACATTCCTCACCCAGATGGTTTCCCAGGTATCTAGTAGAACTGTCACCAAAATTTTGTGCCCATTTAATCATACATTCTTTAATTAGTTCTGGTTCTGAGTCCAGTTCTACTAGCACCCCATAAATTCTCTTAATGTGAGTTCGCCTTTGGTCTTTTACTTGTTTAAAAAAGTTTTCATCTTCTCTAAGCAGACCCACATTACGATCTATCTTCCATCTATCCACTATTTGTCTATACTGAAACCATGAATATATAATATTTTCATATGCTAAATCTTCCAAAGATTTTAACTGCCAATTTTTACCATCCCACCTGAGTAATTGCGCATAAGAAACACTATCCATCTTAACTCCTCTCCTTATTCCCTCTATTGCATGCCAAGGTATAGCCCAAAATGGTATTTTAAGATCACTTCTATAATATTTCCTCCAAACCCGAAGTAAAGAAATCCTTATAATATGAGATTTAAAAACCCGATCAACTTTTTTATTAAAAATTAAATAGGCATGCCATCCAAAAAGTAAATCCCAACCCTCCAAGTGGAGTATTTCTACATTTGTTAAATTAACCCAGTCACTAATTAATGTTAAAACCACAGCATCATAATACAATTTCAGATTTGGTACCTTGAATCCACCTCTCTCACGAATATCTTGCATAATTTTAAGCTTTACTCTTGGTTTTTTCCCTGCCCAGATAAATTTATTGATACCTTTCTGCCATTCATTTAAGTTAACCTCATTCTTTAAGATAGGTATCATTTGAAATAAAAAGAGAAACTTTGGCAGGACATTCATTTTAATCACGGCAATTCTTCCCAAAAGAGATAATTGCAACTTCTCCCAATTTTTCAAATCTCTTTGTACCCTGACCCACAACCTTTCATAATTGTTTTTATACAATTTTACATTAGAAACAGATAAAATAACCCCCAAGTATTTTACCTTATCAACAACTTCAAAATCTGTCAAGTTAACCAAAGTCTGCTTATCCAAATTTGTCATATTTTTGGGTAATATTTTAGTCTTATTATTATTAATTTTAAAACCCGAGACCCGTCCATATTGGTAAATCAATTGTAATAACTCTACTACAGAATAAGTAGGTTGGGACAGGGTAACCACCAAGTCATCTGCAAAAGCTCTTAATTTATATTCTTTTTTATTGACTTCTATTCCTTTTATTTGCTGCGATTCTCGAATTTTAATCAGCAATATTTCCAAAGTTAAAAGCAATGGTGACAATGGACATCTCTGTCTAATCCCCTTTTCTATTGTGAAAATCTCTGACAAACCCCCATTAACTATAAGTTGTGCCGTTTGTTTTTGATAAAAATTGCCAATTCTAACAAGAGTCCTCTATGTCTTCCTGATAGATAAGAAAGTGTATAACTAAATTTCTACTATAGTTATTTCTCTTTGCTTTCAACATAATCTGTTTTTTGAAGTACTTGTATAATACCATTTTCTCTTCTTTTTTTTACCTTTCTTTATCTATATTTTCAATCCAGTGGGTTCTCAGAAATAAAGAAGGTTAAATATGGTCCACAGAATTCTGATACTTCAGTCATCTCAAGTGTTATTTCTCAGGATGAAAGGCCTCCCAGGAATTGTAGAACAAATATTTCCAGGAGCTCATCATCCCTTAATTCAGTTGCTTTGCATCCTTTTTCTCATCATTCATCACTCTCCTCATCCGTCTTCAAAATTACTTCCCAAAATTCATCATGTGTTACTTCAAAGGCATCTCCAAATACTGAGAAATTACCTTATGTACCATATAGCCCCTTTCACCTCTTCTCTTATGACGTTGAAGACCCTCAAACAGCAATGAAAGAAAAGGAAGCAGAAGAGTTCAGAGAAAACAGGTAATGTGCTCTCTCTCTCTCTCTCTCTCTGTATGTGTGTGTGTATGATCAACTCACAAATATCAGTCAAAGTGATTCATATTTATTAGTAGCAGACAAATAAGTATGATCAGAACAATGACAGTCTAATCCAGGTAAGATAGATAGATAGATAGATAGATAGATAGATAGATAGATAGATAGATAGATAGATAGATAGATAGATAGCCAAAAAATAGCAATGCTCACCATCTCACATCCCCCTGCAACTCAGATTAACCTGAGCACAACAAAGCCCCCACCCAAACAGAACACTCCCCCAACCAATCAGCACAGCCAAACCCCCATCCAATCAGAGCACAGTCAAGCCCCTAATCAATCAGAACACACCTCCATCCAATCAGAACATAGCCAAGCTCTCATCCAATCAGTTCATACCCCCACTGGCAGTCAAAAGAAAGAAACAGCTACGATCACACATTGCTCCTAGAAGCATGAAGCCGAAAATACCAGCCTGAAGATGACGAATGAGACTTCGTCGAAACGTCACCAAGACACTTCTAATTTGACGTGGGAAAAAACCCGAATAACCAAAGACCTACACACACAAATATATATATATATATATATATATATTCAATAATGATGGTGAAAATGCGACTCCCGGGCATAATTATAAATGGAATGAATAAAGCACGTTCACCAGGAGAGTTTAAAGTTAAAATACTTTAATTAAAGTATTTTACTATATTAAAAGGTTGCCAAGCTTTCGTTGGGAAAACTCCCCAACATCTTCAGGGCTGAGAGACCGTTTCTAACAAGGTGGTTCAAATGGGTTCCATAGACGTCTGCGCTTGGTTCCTAGACTGTGCCAGTATTCCCTGCTGAACAGCTGATAGGTGGGAGGGGGAATCGGAGTAAAGATTTCTTCTGTTGTTCTCTCGAGCACTTGTGTTCACATCTCCGTCGATCTCAGGGGGTATTGTTAGAGCTATGTTCCGCCCTCTCTCGGCAGCACTGGTTCTCGTTGCAGCGGGGGGATTTAGTTCGATGTCATTGTGTATACTACCATGGAGGCGGGGCTTCATCGGCTGCAATTTAACATCTTTCCTCTGCTGTGTGTTCCCGTATTTATCTTCGCTCGCATGTACAAGCATCAACTGGATGTGGTATTTTTCAATGTTTGAATCATCCTCCTCCATCATGGTGTCCTCCATGCTCATCTTCCCTCGTAGGTCAATATTCAAGTTAAATCCCCCCCATTTCTGTGAGCAAAAGTCTGTTGGTATTTGGGCAGATTCCCCGCTCATGTTACTTTCCCTTTTATCAAGCGAACGGGTCGTCATCACATGTTTTTTCTCCCCTCTCTGTATGGGATATTCACTTTTATTATTATTATGGGTAGTGCTAAATTTAGTGGTTCTATCCTCAAATTTCTTAAGCGCTCCAATGTCATTATTGTTGTTTTCTCCAATTAAAGGGGGTGTGGTTTCTCCTTGATGTTGTTGGGAGGTTTCTGGGTAGTCTATATCAGATTGTTTCTGGTAGGGAGGAGGTGTAGCTCCTGGTTTAGAACGTTGTGGATGTTGATTGTAAGTTTTGTGATATAAAGGATGATGGTTTGAGTTCCATTTTCGTAGCGCTTGTTGTGCTGGGTGCAAGTCAATGTGACGATTGATTGAGTTGTTATTCGAGAACCAGGCTTCTTTTAGCAGCCGACCTCCCTTCGTGGCATCACTGGCTACGATAAGGGTGTTATTGAAGTCAAACTGATGGCCTTGTTGTGCCACATGCATCCAAAGTTGTGAGTGTGGTTCGCCTCGTTTTATGGCCAGTTTGTGTTCGTGGAGGCGAGTTTTCAAGCGTTTGGCTGTTTCTCCCACATAGTTGCCTTTGCAGTTTTTGCAGTTGATCTTATAAACAATAGCAGATTTCTCCATGGTAGGAGAAATCTACCATGGAGAAATCTGCTATTGTTTATAAGATAACACTGCATATATTCTTTTTTACCTTTATTATAGGTGTGTGTGTGTTTGTGTGTGTGTATGTATGTGTGTGTGTGTGTGTATGTATATGTATGTATGTCTTTGGTTGTTCGGGTTTTCTCCCGCGTAAAATTGGAAGTGTCTTGGCAACGTTTCGACGAAGTCTCATTCGTCATCTTCAGGCTGGTGCTTTCAGCTTCGTGCTTTGAGCAGCAATGTGTGTGGTCTTAGCTGTTTCTTCCTTTTAACTGACAGTGGGGGTATGAACTGATTGGGTGGGAGCTTGGCTGTATTCTGATTGGGTGGAGGTGTGTTCTGAATGGTTAGGGGCTTGGCTGTGCTCTGATTGGCTGGGGGAGTGTTCTGTTTGGTTGTGCTCAGGTTAGTCTGAGTTGCAGAGGGGTTTAAGATTTTGGGCTGCCTTGCTATTTTTTGGCTTCGCGTTCGTGGTCGTGCCTCCTCTTCATGGAGGGTGTCAGTTTGCTTCATGTATGGATTGGAGGGGTTTAAAGTGGCTAATGATGCAGCTGTGGTCTGGCTTCTGGTTTGTGGTCGTGCCTCGTCATCGGTGTGGCTTTGGGTTTGTTTTTTGCGTGGATGTGTGGTGGTGACCTCCTGTGTGGTTTTTGTGAGTGTGGGTCTGGTATCATTTTTTGTGTTAGGGAGTCGTTTGTCAATAAGGGCGGGTTTCCAAATGGCTGGTAGGCGGGAGGTATCATCTCGCTTGTTCATGCTGTGTGGGCGTTTTTCTATCTCGATGGCTTCTCTGATTATTCTGTTATTAAAATGTTCACTTTTGGCAATGGTTCTGGTATTTTTAAAGTCAATTTCATGTCCTGTGGCTTTAAGGTGTTGGACCAGGGAAGATGTTGGTTCCTCTTTTTTGACTGAGTTCTTATGTTCTTCAATGCGTGCACTTATTCTTCTGTTGGTTTGTCCGATGTATGTGGTGGGACAAGTGGTGCATGGGATTTCGTATACTCCTTGATTTTCTAATTCAATTTTATCTTTGGGGTTTCTAAGGATGGTGGATATTTTTCTGTTTGTGCAGAATGCTGTTTTGATGTTGTGTTTATGGAGGATCTTACTGATTCTGTCTGTGGTGCCTTTTATGTATGGGAGGAGGGCTTTGCCGTTTTCTTGTTCTTTGTCTTGGATTTTAGTGGGGGTTTCTTTTTGGATTAGGTTTGTAATCTTATTTCTATGGAATCCATTGGATGTTAGTACATTGGTGAGAGTGTGTAGTTCGGGTTTTAGGTGTTGTTCGTCAGCTAAGCGTTTTGTTCTGGAGATGAGTGTCTTGGCTACAGAGTTGATCTGTGCTGGGTGGTGGTGTGAGAGAGCGTGCAGATAGCGGTTTGTGTGTGTTTTCTTCTGGTAGATGGTGTGTCCTAGGGAGCCATTGGATTTCTTGTAGACTAAGACATCCAGGAAGGGAAGTTGGTTGTTAGCTTCTGTTTCCATGGTGAACTGTATTTTGGGGTGTAGGCTGTTGAGGTGTGTGAGGAAGTTGTCCAGTTTTTCTTTCCCATGTGGCCAGATTATGAAGGTGTCGTCTACGTATCTGAGCCAGAGTTTGGGTTTGTGATCCGATTTTTCTAGAGCTTGGGTTTCAAAGTGTTCCATGTAGAGGTTGGCAATGACAGGTGAGAGGGGTGATCCCATGGGTGCTCCTTCTGTTTGTTTGTATTTTTGTCCATTATAGATGAAGTATGTGTTGGATAGGCAGTGGTTGGTCAGATCTAAGATGTGTTTGGGGGGGTTATATTTGTTTTGAATAGCTGTCAAGGCTTCTTTGATAGGCACTTGGGTGAAGAGGGATATGACATCGAAGCTCACTAGTAGGTCGCTGGGCTGTAAGTTTTGTTTCTTTATGATCTCTATAAACTGGAATGAGTTTTTTATGTGTGAGGTGATGGATTCTGCATAGGGCTGTAGTTGTTTGGCGAGATATTTGGCTAGGTTTTGTAGAGGTGAGCAGACCTATAGTCAGCTCCATAGGCTCCATAGTCAGCTCCATAGGCTCACCTCTACAAAACCTAGCCAAATATCTCGCCAAACAACTACAGCCCTATGCAGAATCCATCACCTCACACATAAAAAACTCATTCCAGTTTATAGAGATCATAAAGAAACAAAACTTACAGCCCAGCGACCTACTAGTGAGCTTCGATGTCATATCCCTCTTCACCCAAGTGCCTATCAAAGAAGCCTTGACAGCTATCCAAAACAAATATAACCCCCCCAAACACATCTTAGATCTGACCAACCACTGCCTATCCAACACATACTTCATCTATAATGGACAAAAATACAAACAAACAGAAGGAGCACCCATGGGATCACCCCTCTCACCTGTCATTGCCAACCTCTACATGGAACACTTTGAAACCCAAGCTCTAGAAAAATCGGATCACAAACCCAAACTCTGGCTCAGATACGTAGACGACACCTTCATAATCTGGCCACATGGGAAAGAAAAACTGGACAACTTCCTCACACACCTCAACAGCCTACACCCCAAAATACAGTTCACCATGGAAACAGAAGCTAACAACCAACTTCCCTTCCTGGATGTCTTAGTCTACAAGAAATCCAATGGCTCCCTAGGACACACCATCTACCAGAAGAAAACACACACAAACCGCTATCTGCACGCTCTCTCACACCACCACCCAGCACAGATCAACTCTGTAGCCAAGACACTCATCTCCAGAACAAAACGCTTAGCTGACGAACAACACCTAAAAACCGAACTACACACTCTCACCAATGTACTAACATCCAATGGATTCCATAGAAATAAGATTACAAACCTAATCCAAAAAGAAACCCCCACTAAAATCCAAGACAAAGAACAAGAAAACGGCAAAGCCCTCCTCCCATACATAAAAGGCACCACAGACAGAATCAGTAAGATCCTCCATAAACACAACATCAAAACAGCATTCTGCACAAACAGAAAAATATCCACCATCCTTAGAAACCCCAAAGATAAAATTGAATTAGAAAATCAAGGAGTATACGAAATCCCATGCACCACTTGTCCCACCACATACATCGGACAAACCAACAGAAGAATAAGTGCACGCATTGAAGAACATAAGAACTCAGTCAAAAAAGAGGAACCAACATCTTCCCTGGTCCAACACCTTAAAGCCACAGGACATGAAATTGACTTTAAAAATACCAGAACCATTGCCAAAAGTGAACATTTTAATAACAGAATAACCAGAGAAGCCATCGAGATAGAAAAACGCCCACACAGCATGAACAAGCGAGATGATACCTCCCGCCTACCAGCCATTTGGAAACCCGCCCTTATTGACAAACGACTCCCTAACACAAAAAATGATACCAGACCCACACTCACAAAAACCACACAGGATGTCACCACCACACATCCACGCAAAAAACAAACCCAAAGCCACACCGATGATGAGGCACGACCACAAACCAGAAGCCAGACCACAGCTGCATCATTAGCCACTTTAAACCCCTCCAATCCATACATGAAGCAAACTGACACCCTCCATGAAGAGGAGACACAACCACGAACGAGAAGCCAAAAATAGCAAGGCAGCCCAAAATCTTAAACCCCTCTGCAACTCAGACTAACCTGAGCACAACCAAACAGAACACTCCCCCAGCCAATCAGAGCACAGCCAAGCCCCTAACCATTCAGAACACACCTCCACCCAATCAGAACACAGCCAAGCTCCCACCCAATCAGTTCATACCCCCACTGGCAGTTAAAAGGAAGAAACAGCTAAGACCACACATTGCTGCTCAAAGCACGAAGCTGAAAACACCAGCCTGAAGATGACGAATGGGACTTCGTCGAAACGTCGCCAAGACACTTCCAATTTTACGCGGGAGAAAACCCGAACAACCAAAGACCTACATACAAATACCCGCGAAAACCTCAGAAAACAAATATGTATGTATGTATGTATATTATATATATATTATATATATATATATATATATATATATATATATATATATATATATATACATACACACCACACACACACACACACACACGTAAAAAAGGATATAGCATGTTATCTTCATTTAGATGTCAAAAGGGTCTCTCTCTCTCTCTCTCATCCTCTCACTCTCTCTCCTCTCTCGCTCTCTTCTCTCTCTCTCTCTCTCTCTCTCCCTTTCTATCTGCCCTTGGTCTGCCACTCCTCTTCCCCCGCTCTCTTTTTTTCTCTCTTGCTCTTTCCTCTCTCTCTCTCTCTCTCTCCCTCTCTTTCTCTCTCTCTCTTTCTCCCCCCCCCCTCTCCTATCTGCTGCTCACCTGACAAGCTTCAGGCTGTTGTCCAACAAGATCAGGGGTAGGCAACCTCGTCTCTTTTATGACTCATGGACTTCAACTCCCAGAATTCCTGAGTCAGCCTAGCTGGGCTAGCTAGCTCTCTCCTGCCCTTCCTGCTTCCTGCAGAGACGCAGCGAAGGGAGGAGTTCCGCGCAGTAAGCTTTTCAGCTCCTCGGAGAACACTGTGAGTGCACTCTCTTTTTTACACACACACACACAGAGAGAGAGAGAGAGAGGCAGGGAAGCGCAATTGCCTCTCTCTGTCTCTGTCTCTCTCTGCAAAGGCAGAGGAGGCTGGGAGCCGCAGGGGAAGGCTCAAAGAGCCGCATGCGGCTCCGGAGCCGCAGGTTGCCGACCTGTGGTATAGATTGTAGAATCTTTTAGAATTGCTGAAAGGACTGTGTTGTAGATGGGATATAGGTGGTGTTGTATTCCTTCCTCTCTGTCGATGGAGGGCTGTTCAGTTTTAACATAGATGGACTCTTTATCCCTCTTTCAAACCAATAATCCTCTCTATAAAAAATGTTGACTTTGCTGTCTTCAAAAGAACAACCGTTGTCTTTTAAATGCAGATTGGACCACTGAATGTTGTCCTGATGGGTTTGTTCTCCTATGTTGTGCCATGCATTTGTGAAGTGGTTTGTTTTTTCAGCAATTCCAAGATTCCACAACCATTTCCACTCTGATTCAGATTAGTATGAGGGCGCAGATAACCCCCCAAGTGGCCTCAATGGCTCTCAGAGAAAGTGCTAAGGATCAGATGACTGCAAAGAAATGCAATCCTTCCATCCTCCCACCCTCCAATCATAACTATCAGAACCTATCCTTCCATTCCCCCATCATCCAGTCACAACTGATGAAGCTTCTTGGATAAGAAGCGAAACGTCTTCTTCCTTAAAAAATAGTCCAGTTGCCTTTTGAAAAAGTACCTTTGACACAACTAGGACCTGGATGACCGAGAATCTTCATAAACATATATCCAGATCACATTTAAATAGAAATATTGAAAATTCAACAGGGCTCACAAACTTTTTAAAGCACCACTGTAATGGAATAGAAGATAGAAGTGATTACTGAACATGTACATTTTCACCTCATCCAGTATTTGGCCAAGGGAAGTATTATCTTATTGAATCCCCAATTGATAATGATTGAATGAATAGTTAGAACTCAAAACAACTTAAACAATTTAAAACTATAATGATAATATAGATTTGAAGATATGTTTTTTTAAGCCTCACGCACCAGATAATTGGTAATTTTCATCAAATTGCTGGCCCACATCTGTATAAGAGCAATAGCAAAAGCACTTATACTTATATGTCGCTTCATACAAGAGTTAATTACTTTTGGAAATACAATTAAAAATTACATTATTCACACGGAATGAATATTAAAGAAATAGGAACATTGAACATTGAATAAATTATTTTTCTTAATTTACTTAAGTCACTTTTCTTATTTAAAATTTAAAATCCAATCAGAGGATATACAATTGCTCATTCACATTTTAGTAAGAGCTGGGAAATCATTGTATTTTATAAATAAGAAAGGACACAATACTGTTTAGGGATAGAATAACTAATGAAGGAATAGTCTGATTTAATTAACAAAATTTCTTTAACTAGGAAAATATAATGAAGGCAATAGTTTATTTTAAAACAATAAATATTTCTTCTTCACCTATAGGACATCTTTAGGTGGTCTCCTTACATCATCATATAGACAACACCAAGAGTCCTTGGCAGTAGAAAGAGAACGGAGACGTCAGGAGAGAGAGGAGAGGCTGCAAAGAATAGAACGTGAAGAAAGAAATAAATTCAAGTAAGCAACAATTCTTTAATCATTTGTTACCTTAATGAATATGATAGAATTAAAAAATATTTGCTGCCTGTTAGCATCTCCACATTGATTTTTCTTTTTCCATTTAAGAAAACTGGGAAGTAAGGCATAAAAACTCAAGATTAGATTTTATAGCCAGATAGGGCAGAGAGGGTATCTGTGTGAGAAAACTAGACATTTACTCAAGTATTCTCTCTCTCTCCCTCTCTCTCTCTCCCTCTCTCTCTCCCTCTCCCTCTCTCCCTCCCTCTCCCTCTCTCTCTTCCCCCCCTCTCTCACACATACACACACTCTATCTATCTATCTATCTATCTATCTATCTATCTATCTATCTATCTATCTATCTATCTATCTATACGTATGCATGTATATATGTATGTATGTATTACTCACTTAAGAAATATGTCTAAATTATTACTTGCTTAAGACATATGTCTAAATTTTGCCCTTCTGAGCATGCAAGAAAATCTAATTCTTTGGATAAAGTATTTTCTGTTTAGAGAAACATTCAGTAAGTTTGAAGATACATAAGAAGCTGTCTTTAACATGTCTCATGTGACTCTCCATTGCCAACAAAGATTTCAGATATAAAATTTGATATGTCACTTAATAACAAAATTAAATATTAATAACTGCAGATGCCTTTCATAAGAAAAGCTGTGGGTTACTTCACATTCAAAATTCATTGTGATTTTAAACATAATTTTGAAATGCATAATTTAACGAGTTCTTAAATTCTTTCTTTGAACATTTTGGAAAGAGAAGATACTCTTCAAAACAATTATTCCAGTTTTCAACAAGAAAATGAAACAACAACTCCTTTCTCTTCCCCAATTTCCTATAACTACCTAATCTAGAATACTTTCAATGTGCACCAAGGGAATCCCAGGCTGATTATTTTTGGTTCACAGTGCCATGCAGCTTTAGTCTTCTCCAGGAGCAGACTAAGAAGAGATCAAGTAAACATAGTCACTTTGCTTCTCTTTTAGAATCAATGGAATCATGTCATTCCACATAGCAGTTCCCAGGGATGCTTCATTCAAAGCAAAGCACTCCTTCAAGGCATGGCATGGCTATCTGCTTTCATATTTCATTGTATGGTATAGCAATAAATTGATTTTTTTTCTGTCTTCACAAATAACTAAATTGAAATAGGAATGACATTGTACATGGTAGATGTTATACTTTATATTATTTTATGTTAGTATTCAAAGTTATATTAGAAAAGAGTAAAGCGACTTTAGTTTCCACAGAAAGTTTAAGAGGCTTTATTTCTATCAGTGCTAAAGACTTCAGTTTAAATCACTTGTGCAGGCACATTTCATTTAGCATCTATCTCAGTTTGCAATCATTCTCAAATAAAATAGTAGTAAACAATAATACAAAATTCATTTTCCAACTAATGTATACGTTTAGGATAACAAAAGCCTTTACTATGAAACTGATTAAGATCTGTCAATTTTAGGCAGTAATTGGAACAGGCCAAAGGGTTTTAATTAATTAAAGTCTCAGACCTAAGCTTGTTAACGTATAGTTAGCATGTTTTAGGAATGGCCACATTGCATCTCAGGGATAGCTTATTTAAACAACGTTTCCACCCTGTGAAGGGGCAAAAAAAAGTTCAGCATAGGATATTGTAGAAAGTAATTGATGCAAATAAGAGGGCAGCAACCAATGATCTTCTCAGCATTTCTGTCCCTCAGCCACTATTTACTTAGCAGCCATTTCATTTAATGATCAAGCCATTGGAAGAAAACACAAATAGCTAAATAAGAGGGTATATTCAAATATGCTATATTTTCTTGTAGAAATTTACCAAAGATTTAGCTGCTTTTGAATCATTTGCTGTTCCTTTGTTTCTTGCTTAATTTTTCTTCTTTCTTGGTTTTTTTATTTTACCTGTAACTTTCTGCATATCTCTTTTTTAGTCAAAATTATCTAGATAAAAGAGAAGAACTGAGACAAGCAAGAGAAGAGAGGTTTGTACTTAGCTCCTGCTTTTGGCTGCTTTGCATTTCTTATAGCCACTGTTAAAAGATGCATGATTCTATAAATACACTTCTAACTAAACTTACAAAAGGACATTGTGCAGACATGCATAGAAAATCGTTATATACACAAGAATCAGAAAAGCAATTACTGAAAACTTGACAAAAACAATACATGAACTAGCTGGGTCCTTAGTATTTGTTCATCCTCACTGCCATATCTTGTTGTACAAGTGATGGATGCAATGTTGCCTCTAAAAATGTCTATTCATTTATCTTTTCAACCATGGGTGCTCAACTTTCATCAGCTCAAGAACCATTGAATGCAGTGCTAATGGCCATATTCCCAAAATAGGCACAGTCAACTTCCAAAGTGGATTGGATCACTTTTATTTTTTAAATTCCATTATTATGGTTCAGTGCAGTCAGCTAGTTATTTAGCCTAGATTCAGCATTCTTATCCACCTATTGAGTTCTTCCCAAGGACCTAAGAAAGGCAGATGTTGTTTAATATTAAAGGTATTGTTGCTGGATGTAAGCTGTTCCAAATAAAACTTTATTTTGCAATTGACTGAAGGTAACTGCTCAAGGTGTTCAAGTGGTGCTCCAGATGTGTTGGAATTTCAACAAGGCACCCATCGCTATTGAAATTATCTTTGTTTTCTTTTGCCATAGTCATTATTATCTGTGGTAATCTACAATTAGATTGACAATCTAAGGCTGGTGAAAATTTAGTAATTCAAGTTCTAACCAAGAATTTAAGGATTATTAAGGTAACATTTAAGAATATAAACAGTTGGGGGGGGGGCTTTTAATACAGGGATAGAATCAAGATCATATGAAGTATTAATGTTGTTGTTGTTAATTGCGAAGTCGTGTCCGACCCATCGCGACCCCATGGAAAATGTTCCTCCAGGTCTTCCTGTCCTCTACCATCTTCTGGAGTCCATTTAAGTTCACACCTACTGCTTCAGTGACTCCATCCAGCCATCTCATTCTCTGTCGTCCCCTTCTTCTATTGCCCTCAATCTTTCCCAGCATTAGGCCCTTCTCCAGTGAGTCCTTCCTTCTCATTAGGTGGCCAAAGTATTTGAGTTTCAACTTCAGGATCTGGCCTTCTAAAGAGCAGTCAGGGTTGATCTCTTCTAGGACTGACCGGTTTGAACGGCTTGCAGTCCAAGGGACTCGCAGGAGTCTTCTCCAGCACCATAGTTCAAAGGCCTCAATTCTTTGGCGCTCAGCCTTTCTTATGGTCCAACTTTCACAGCCATACATTGCAACTGGGAAAACCATGGCCTGGACTATACTGCTTTACAAAGCCTTAATATGACCATACTTGGAATACTGCATCCAATTTTGGTCACCACAATATAAAAAAGAATGATTACAGGAATCGGATATGTCTAGTATAGTGAAAAGAAGGAAGACATGATAGCAGTGTTCCAATATTTGAGAGCTGCCACAAAGAAGAGAGGGTCATCCTATTTTCCAAAGCACCAGAATGCAAGACAAGAAGCAATAGTTGGAAACTAATCAAGGAGAGAAGCAACCTAGAACTAAGGAGAAATTTCCTGAGAGTGAGAACAATTAACCAATGGAACAGCTTGCCTTCAGAAGTTATGGATGCTTCATCATTGGAGACTTTTAAAAAGACACTGGACAACCATTTGTCTGAAATAATAAGTCTTCTGCTTGAGCAGGGGGTTGGACTAGAAGACCTCCAAGATACCTTCCAACTGTGTTATTCTGTAAATTCTTCCTCCCCAGTTTATTTTCACCTGTAGAAATCCTTTTCAGCTCTTAACAAACTCAGCTGATCATTATCACTTTTGGGTGCAAAGTACAATTTATTATCATTTTATTTTTGTCTTATGGTTCAAACTGGGTCAGGATTTATTATTATATTATCATCATCATCGGTTCTTTTTGTATGACATACCTAAAGCAACAAGCTTCTTGCAATGAATCTTATCTGCAGCAGCATCTTCTGCATCTTCCCATTTGATGTCCACTGTCCACAAGTCATCTTTTAACATCTGATGCCAAGTTTTGCATGGTCTGCTCCACCTCCGCTTTCCCTCTGGCAGCTCCCATCATACAACATTTTTTGGGTATTGATGTTGTGTCAGGCAAAGAATATGATCAGTTAGATGCATTCAATGTTTCATCAGAATGGCCTGCAACTTCCTGTAAAATTTCTTCATTGGTGACACTGTCATAACAGCCAGAATTCTCCGTAGGCAACGTTGATGGAACACAGTGAGATTTTGTGCTATGCATGCTGTTATCGCCCATGTTTCACTGGTGTTGATCACTGTTGGTACAATGATTGTCTTTTAAAGCTGTAACTTGGTCTTCCTGTTTATTTTTGGAGTTGATCAAATAAGTCGTGCTGGTATATTGCTGAAGCTTTAACAGTTCTGTGTTTCACATATACATCTGTGCTGCCATCTTGTGATAAGATGTTACTGAAGTATCTAAACTGTTGGTCATGTTCTATTGGTTATTGGCCAGTTGTGATTAATGTGTTAAGAGGGTGACTCCCAATCAATATGACTTTGGTCTTATCCACTCTAATATATAGTCCTGCTTTTCTAGTTTCAATCTCTTGAGTTGGTAGTCATATCCTGCAAGGAGGCACTAATTTCTGCCAAAAAATCAACATCATCAGCAAAATCAAAGTCTGTAAGCTTTGTGTGATTCATCCAGGGAATTCCAGCATTTGATCAATTCATTGCTTTGTGCAAAACAAAGTATGGCAAGGAGAAACAAAAAGGGTGGTAAAATGCAGCACTGTGTAATACCAGTATAAATATTGAAAAAGTTGGGGCTCCACAATTGACTTTACACAGCAACTGCTGTTATGATAGAGATTTTTAAAAAAGTTTTTTATTTATAATACAATTAAAAAAGAGAACATTGGACATGACGTAACATTCCAGTATAAATATTTCTATCAACTTATTTCTCTTCTTACATTTCGTTCTTTATCTCTATAGATATTATATGACTTTTTTTATACAATACTTAATTCATTTCTGATAGAGATTTTTTAAAGTGTTAATAAATTGATCTGGAATTCCATATTTTCTAAAGATGTTCCACAGGGAGTTCTGACATATGCTATCAAAAGCCTTCTTGAAATTTATAAGATTTATGGTAGATGGTCTCTGGAACTAATGTATTGCTCAATAATGTTGCATAGCATGAGAATTTGTTCAGGGCATGAGGGCTGCAAAGAAATTCAACCTGTTCCTTCTGCAGCATTTTACTAATTGCTTCTTGAGGGTACTTAAGGAGAATGATTGAAAACACTTGGCCAAATATGGAAAGAAGAGTGATACTTTGTCAGTTATTATAATCACTGAGATTCCCTTTTTTGGGAAATTTAATAACAATTCCCTTCCACCAATTATTAGGAATGCATTGTATGCACTAACACATGTTTAACAACCTGGTCATCTCCATTACCAAATTATTTCTGCCAGCTTTCAAGAGTTCCACTGGGTCTGGTCTACGTCAGGGGTTTTATTCTTCAGTGCACTAAAGGGCACTATTATTCCAGAGTGCTTGTAGAACTTTAGGTTGTAATCATGTGCAGTTCAATGTCCATTAATGCAATGGAATCGCCATTACTGAAATCATAGATCATACTAGGGGTTGACTGATTCAAGGTTTATTGAATCTCATCTCTTGTTCTTTCCTTGTGAGCAAAACTTTCCCATTCTTGTTTTTAATAGGAACATTAAGACTCCTACTCACATTGGTTAGATCACAAACAATATGGTATAGTATCTTTATATCATTCCTATCTGCTACTTCTTGTGGCTTGGTACCCTTGCCTTCCAGCTACATGCGCTTATGAGCCCAGCAACTCTGCTTAACCTGGTCGAGTTCTCTATATTTGTCCTCTGCTGCTGTTCTTTCGGTGCTGATCTCTTTGATGTTTTACAATCCTGTGTTTGTCAATGAGATTCCAGATACCATCTGGAATCCATTATTCTGTCCATGAACTTTGATGTCATTCTATTATGTTGGTGTTGTTGACAATGGCCTGTTTAAAATGTCTCCAGTGTTTATGCTGTCTTGCAATAGCTGTTGAAATGTGTTGGTCAATGTAAGTTGAAACTGGCAGCATCCTTCAATTTCTGGGCTGCAAAAGGACATGCTGTTTGGCATCTTATTTTCATGAACTTGATTCGGAGTGATGCCATGAGCAGGTAATGGACTGAGTTCACATCTGCACCTTACTAGATGTGTACATCAAGCAATACCTAGAGCACTGCCTACAAATGCATATATAGTCAATTTTGTTAACATGTTGCCTTGTGAATGCACTTGAGGGCAAATATGTGTTTCTGATACATAGAATGTTCATTCAGCAAAATAACATGAGGCATTCACCGTTATCATTCATTTGTAGAGACAAACTGTGGCCCAATAACGTATTCTGTGCCAGGAATCCCCAACCTATGATCCGTGGCCCGGTACTGGGCTGTGACCTATTGGCCACCGGGCCCTGGGAATAGCTGGCGAGCCCTCTCACTCAACGGTAGTACTGTCGCATGGGCACTAGCAGCCCCATGTGCACATGCATGGAGATGCTAGCACTACTGGCAGCGTCACGTGGGCACCAGTAGCCTGTTTGCGCATGCGTGTGGGCACCAGCTCACATGCTGTGGGTGTGCACAGCCTGCTTGCACAGATGCACACAAGCTAGCACAGCCATTGTGTGCACGCCCATTTGCACATGCGTGGGCACATATTTCCCTGCTGCTCCCTTTCCTTCCGGGCCACCAAGCCAGAAGGGTTGGGGAGCACTTTTCTGTGCTATGTCTTTGTCCATCAAACTAGGCATTCAGGTCTCAGATAACCAATTTGATGTCATGATTGGTAATATCATTAAGTGTCTCTTGGTGCTGATCATAAAAGTTACCTTTATCTGCTTTTTTTGCCTCCTCCATTGGTGCATAGATCTGAATAATGATAAA